GTACAGAAAAGATACTAGTCACATCATTTACCACAAAGCAGCAGCAGCACATGAAATAGTTTATGTGGCTTTCCAGATCCTACTAATCTTCCTTTTATTCTAAAGGTATTCAGATGATACTTAAAACTTTTGAAAGCTTTCATTACATTTTAATGGATGTTACCCTTTAAACAAGTTGGTTTAAATCCCCTTGGTTGAGAAAGACTTCAAATCAAATTCTATCTTCAATGCTGGTTTTTTGAGCTATGTCCCACTTTCTGTTCTTGAAGATGAGGAAATATTTTTAATCTTTTGTAAAGTGCGCAGCTGAACGATCTAATTTAGCGGTGGTTTCATACCACGGGGTTCTATTTGTTGCCATTTAATGGCCATTCTGCACACACCTTCATTTGTACATTGCAGGAACAAATGAATGTAAAGTAAATTATTAATTTTTACCAACTTCAGAATGTCAGTAAGGCTGTCTGTATTAGAATGACATTATCAACTTTTTAAAATCATACTATTAGGACTTTTTGGAGGACAGTACTTTCATAGGGAACAGCTATTGAGTCAACCACCCACCCCAGCTTGAAACCCAAATGTAGAAAGGGGATCTGGAGAGAAGGGTAGTTGTTTGCTGTTTTTGCATGTTTTAATTTAGGCCACAATCCAAAAAATATTGAAGTCAATCTAGAAACTACTTTGGCTCCACTGGACTTTTTGAGCAAGCTCTAAGCATGTAGGGAAGGGTGCATTCTATTTCAGCTGGAAACTGAAATCATAATTGAACTAATAACTGAAATTAAAGAAGAAGCTTCAGTAGGCTCTACAAAGGGTTTATACCAAGTTTTGTAAATGATTATGCCTGACTACACTTTTCAAAGGGATTTACCATGAAGACTCCTGAGAGCTCATGCTAATTTAATTATTAAATCATGACTTCCTGCTTATAGGAGTGGTAGAGATGCTGCATCAACGGTAACGCGTTCTCACAGCGAATGGAGGCACAGACACGCTGGTGCAAGCAAGTTGCCGAGGAGCCGGGCGCATTGCTCCCATGAGGAGCTGCCCGCACGCAACTGCGGTGTGCCGGGGCTGACTGACGGTGCAGCACGGCGTCGCGCACCCTCACTCCCCTCCCGGGAGAATTTCATACCTGTACTCCATTGCATGATATCGATATGCTCAAAAGAAGCTGAGCAAAAACTCAATTGCAAATTCCCAAGTATCAATTCTGTGATTTTAACTCAAGGGGGAAACCCCCTTAAATGTGACAAGGAAAGAGGGTAGCAACTTTCCTCCTGTATATCTCTGTAACAGCTGACAGGTAGTTCCAAATTTGCTCCTTGACAACTTCCACATGCACAGAGGCATAACATAGGCTTGACAGTTTTCTTCCCTTTTTTTTTCCCTTTTGTTGCTGGAAGAGGTGTGTATCAGACTTTACCTAAGGGATTTTCAGCAGCTCCAAGCAAGCGCATTGGTGCCCTTCCCTTTAACTTGTTCTGACGTTGTACCATTTGGACACTCCATCATTGTGCAAATGATCTAGTTTTTCCAAATCTAACAGTTTCATTACTTGGGAATCATTGCTTCCCAGCCAAATACATAAATGATGACAAGACAACTTGCAATATACAAGTGAAACATCCTAGTTCTTTTTGCCATATTTTGATGTGAATTTGAGAGTTTGTTTACTTCAAAAATCAAAGCAAAACTTTGGAAATATGAAGAGGAGAGAAAAATGGGTACAAATGTAATAAAGGAAGCCCTAAGAAAATGTTAACTAAAATTCATAAAAATTATGTGGTATTTTATGCCTCTACTGTAAAGTCTGTGCAATTGGGTTATTCAAGGCAGTTGGGTTATATCAACTAGTTGTATATTATTAATTTGCGGGTTTCTCTTCAGGCATTTCATATCCTCTCAGTTTCTACCATCTGCCAATAAATTATAGCTAAAGAGATTGGCCAGCAAATCCAAGCACTGTATCTTTTCTATAGATTGCTCTCTATCTATAGATTGTTTACAAGGCTGTGAACTTGTGTGGTGGATAACATCTGTTTGCTTGAGCTGTTTAAGTGGAGGTCAGCCGGAGAGGTTGGAGGCAGAGGAAGGTCACTTTTTCTGGAGGAACTCCTCGAGCCTGCTTCCTGCAGGAGGCTGGAGCGATGCAGGCTGGTGGCACCACGAGTGGCGAGTGGAGCTGGATTTCCCAGGCTGGCACAACGCCCAGCAGCCAGACCTCACATGGCAACAGCGTCACAGACCCAAGGAGGTGGCAAGCAGAATTTACTGTATTTTTTTCCAGGATTTCATCTTCTTGACATAAACACTTGTCCAAGGAAAACGCTTTAGTGTACAAAATATCTACTCAAGTATCTGTCTGTCTATCAGTGCATGTAGAAGTAAATATACACTGGCATTAATTACAGTGTAGATGTTACATTTTTTAATTAAAAAAATAATATTATAAATCTGCATGATAGAGATGACTGCATAATTAGAATATCAGTCTGGAATAACAATGATTTAATTCAAGTGGCAGCTTAATCCTGTGTAATTGTCAAGGAGCTCTAGGTATCAAGAATGTGTGCTTTCTTTTCAGGCCCATCAGAATGCTGGATTCTGCATCTTTTGATTTTGGTTACTGTTCAGGAAGTGGCCATGAGTTCAGCTCTTGCATCTGAATTTTCACCTCCCTTAAAAATTCAGGGATGTCTGAATGCGCCATGCTCTGTTCCTTATTTCCTTCCCTCTGCACTTACTACTAAACTATTAATCATGGTTCATCCGCTCTTGGTATGCATTTTTAATATGAATAGCACATGTTAAAATGCTTTCAGACACAAGTGATTTGGATTTTACTGACATAATTATTGGTTTCTGTTAGAAAAGCAGTGTATTATTTTAATAAACGTAACTGACTTTCTTTGGGATGTACAACACACAGTTAATAATTTTGAATGCAAATGTGTTCTCAAGGCAAGTAAGTGAAGATATGCCTGGCTGGAAACTCTTAGGATGTTGAAACAAGGAAGATTAAAAAATAGGGCAAATTCCATTGACAGATAAAGACAAGTAATGTCTTTTAATTTCAGATTTTAACTTCATTCATTTAATTAGTTTCCTTTTAAATCACTTTGAGGGGAAAGCTGTCTCTTCCACTTTTGAAGGCATGGAGGTAAGAAGAAGGTTGCTATAGATGAACCTGGATGTGATGCCTCTCTCCTGCATGGAGCGTACCCCTGCTCGGTGCTGCCCAGCCCAGCAGCAAGACTGGGAGAGGGTTGTGCTGGCAGCTCAGCCTGCTGCTACTCACCCAGGGCCTGCCCCGGTGAATCCGCCTGCTGGCATTGCACTGCTGTGTTCTGTTTGATTGCTCCCTTTCATCCTAAAACTCTCTTTAATCAAACTATATTAGTAGTATGGGAGTTTGATTAAATCTTTTTATACTTACTTGCATTTATAGAGTCAGACTTTCAGCTATGTTACCTCAGGACATTTAATGTAGTATAGGCTTTTGCCAAGCATCTGTATTTTTAAAAAGGATTTTTAAGAAATGGCTTATCCATCAACTCAGGTTGAGGGAGGGGTCATGTCACATATATATTCCCGAGACTGAAAACCTTCTGTGTTACAGAGAGGGCCCATCAGCGCTGTAATTACCTTGCTTTGGTAAAAAGAGGGAGTCAGAAAATATTGAGAGTGGCAGAAACAAGCAGTGAATATTGTTTTCTTTAAATGGGTGTATATGGACTAGAGCTAGTCTGTGGTATCAGAACTATTGCTATCAAGCAGGAAATTGCACTATTCTTACTAAACTGAAAGGTCAGCTCTGTTGGAAGTGTCAATTACTGGTAATGTATAAGGTGGGTTTCTTAGTCTAATTGGGAAATATTTTTAAAAGACAGTAGAAATCATGTGAGTGAGTCGTGAACTTTGTGTTCCTCTAGGCAAATTACTGGGGTGGATTCCTAAGGGAGATGGGGAAAATGCTTCTAAAAAAGTGTGATAGATGTCTTTTGGGCATCAGAGCCTTGTTAACGGTCTCCTGCCTTTGTCCTGGGTTTATTGTACCAATATAAAGTTTAGAACTGCTGATGCAGGAATTCGTACAGACTTTAGAAAATAATCTTTGTACAATGCTTTGCCACACTGTGGGCTTCCACAGGTGGGTGTTATATTTCACCCCGTAATTTTTACATGAGTAAATGGAGAGCAGAGAGAAAGTGTTATCAATGGCTTTACTTGGAGGAGATTGCAGTGCATCCACCATGGACTCTTTGCAACCTTACATACAGGAGGCTAATAAATAATAAATCATACATGCTCACAGGGTGTGTTAGATTGCCTAGAGCAGCAGCATCTAGTTTTTGCCTGCCTCTTGACCTGTGGATCTGTAACACATTAAGAGCAATTTTTCTGTCTTTGCTTGCTTTAGCCCGGTAAGTTCCTCTGGCCACAGGATCTGGCCAAGGATTGTCAGAGAGTCACAAATTCAACAGCCCAAGATATACTTTTTGCTAATAAACTACTACATGTGGACTGACACCCAGGATACAGCACGGTTATCTTTCTGTGATAGTGTTACCAGAACAAACTCAGTTTGGAGTATTTCCCCAATGCAAAGGTCTTCTCCTTATTTATACCTGTCATCACAGTGCACCACTCTGAAAGCTTTCCCTTCAGCTCATGATGCAAAAATAACATGGTCTGTGAACTGCTGCTGGTGTTTTAAGCTCATTTCAGTTCCTGCAGAAGGGAAAGAGACTGTGCCCAAGGTCTGGCTGCCTTTGCTTACTGCTCTTGCCTCCTGCATTCATATAGGTTCCTGGATGAACCCTGTGCAGCTGAGGACGCAAGGTGCTCAGATAACAAAAAGGACAAAGCATATTTCTCATAGTCAGAATTTGGACGCACAGTTTGATCTAGTACCTCTTACCTCTTGCTGTAAATTATATTACTCTCATTGTAAAATTGTCCCAATCACTTTCTTGTTTTGTGTCTCTTCACAGAGCGATGAGGTTTTAACAGTCATCAAGGCAAAAGCACAGTGGCCTGCCTGGCAACCTCTGAATGTGTAAGTAAGTAGGGAATAGTATGTGTCAATAGCCTTGTGTTCAGTGTTGGCTAATGGACTGCTCTAAGCTCGTCTCATATAATCATTCGCCCTTGTAAAGAAACAATCTAAAAATATTTTGATAGATGAGTTTTTAATTTTTTTTTTTTTTTTTTTTTGCCAACAGTTGCTTCTCTCGTTCTTTCCTCTTTAACATCTCTTCATTTTTTACATGCTTTGGTTCACTTACTGTTACAGGAGAAGGATTATCCCATGGAGTTTGTGCTTTCTTTGAACAATGATGTTTATTCAATGCTTGCTCAAAAATACATTGTACTCTTCTAAATGCAGTAATTTTTAGCATCCTGTGTCATGCACTGTGTCAATACAGCAAATCCTCAATCCACCAACAAAAAACTCCTAAAGGACTAATTCTTTAAAATGCTTATCTGAAACACTCTATGATAGCATCATGATCCTGATGGTAGTACAACCATGATTGTTTTACCAAGTGAGACAGCTAGCTGGCTTCCCAGGATCCTAACTCTGGGCTCTCTGGCTCTCAGCAGAAAAGAGGACAAAACTCTTCTTTCAGGGTACTCTTGAATTTACTGGTTGTCTTTTGGCAGGGGGGCGGTGTTGGGGGTGGTGGTTCCTGCATAACTTATCTGTGCTTGGCGCAAAGTTTGTACTAATTATCCAGGCCCACATGAGTGAGACTTGCAAGAAGTGACTAAAGATGAGAACCCAGTATAACGGGTCACCCCATTAGCTGAGAGTCAAACTAAGTCCTTGGAGAAGCAGGGCAATTAGTCTACTGCAAGATTGTAGGGACCAGGTAGTCCTGTTTCCTCTGTAAATGTATAAGAGAAGCAGTTAGTGGAACGCTGTGTCTGGTTTTGTCATCTGTATTTCAGAAAGTATGTGAAAATTTGGAGGTTAGTCAGAAAAAAGCTGCAAAAGAGTTCAGTTTTTAGAAAACATCCCCTACCGTAAGAGGCTTAGAAACTCTTAAGCAGCTTAAGACCTAAGCTATTCAGTTTATCCCCTCCCCCCCAAAAAAAGAAAAAAAAGGTTAGGAGGTGAGCACAGCTTAAATAGTGAAAAGATTTCTGATAGCTGATCCTTCTTTAATCTAGAAAAAAAACCCACAACACTATGAAATCCCTTGTAGCATGGAAGCTAAAGAAATTCATGACAAGGAAATTCTCACTAAAGGTATGGGAAAAGGTTTTAACAGTGTGACCAACCTCAGAGCAGCTTACCTGAACGTGAGATGGATTTTCCATCACTTTAATATATTTCAACCCTGAGACAGAGTTGTAGGCTCTGCAGAGGAATTGTGGGCTAGGCTTTTTTTTGGCTGGTGTTATGCAAGTGGTCAGTCAAGGTGACAGTAATGGCATTCTTTATTTACGGTCTTATTCCCCTGAAATTTTCAGTATTTGGATTTGGTAGTGTTTGCCATGTAGTAGTTGTGGATAGCATTTTTTTCCCTGCTGCCTTCTTTCTATTCACTCCAAATTAACACTTTAAAATGGAAACTTTTTTCCACTTCTCTGTTCTACTATGGTGAGGTCTCTGACTGAAACAAGCCATTTATTTTTTCCTTCCAATTTCAGTTACTTTCCTGAAGCAACATTTATATATGTTTTTCTGTATCAAAGTGAACAATACTACTAGGAATTGACTGCTCTGGGTGCTTGGAAGGCTTTGGCATTGACAGGAGAGCAGGTTTGTACTTTATTCACAGAAAGATGGAGAGAGGATCTCCCGCTCCAGAGTCTCAATCCATCATCTTTCAAATACACTGAATATATGACATAACAAAAATCAAAGCTAATTAAAATATGTTGTCCCTGGTCATAATAGCTAGTTAAATACAGAGATGAGAAGCTTCACAAAAAAGTTGAGAGTGAACAACTTCAGATACTTTCTAGGCATATTCTTTCACAGACTGCAAATGCTTCTGCAACATCCTCCAGATGTTCTTCCAGTCAATTCTTACCTTTTCTATATTGTAATTCTCACCTTTCAGTAACATCAAAAGGAATATATCTTGGTATTTGTGCTTTCAAATGCTGTGCAAGGGTTCCCCTAACAAATGTTCCTTCACTTTACAGGTAGTGTTGGATTTTTGCTTTTAAATATTTTTTAATCATATTTTGCCATGATGTCCTTCTTTTTGATTACATTTTAAAATATGATCTAAGCTTCAAAAGAAAGCAAAATTTTCAATAGCCATTAACTTCTGGTTTTAATTTCCCATTTGCTGTTATGGATGGGCCTTCTTGGAATTTAGGTTGCACAAGTATTGGACAATAACTGCTCAGGATAAACATTTGGTCTATTATTATGCATAAGAGCCACCTTACTAATCCAGAATTGACTAAAAGTTATGAATAACCTTCTTTTGCATAATCATTAGTTATATATCTAATATATAATATGATGTGATTGTGGTGTCAAAGTGGCGTTATAATGTGGCATAATAAGCACAGCCTAAAAACCTTCCTGAATGTGTTTTACAACAATTACAAAATTCATAATACTAGTGAGCCAATTTATAGCGGCCTAAAGTGTCAAAAGTTGGCAAATTCAACCTGCTCGCACTTCAAAGTTTCTCTCCTGATTCCATACAGTAACTTTTATTGCTAACACTATCCAAGTTGCAGTACCAAGTTAGTTACAGCGATTACACTTAAAATCAGAGGGAGGAGGGGAACAATTACCTCCAAAACTTGTGAGAGGGCTGTAAGAGTATTAATCTATTTGCATGCTGCTGTGGAGAATCCGGGATGAGGCACCGCGGACACCAGGATGCCACCCCGGCTGAACACGTTATCTGAGAGTAACAACCCACAGTCAATGGGGCTGGAGTGCAGTGACATTCACATAGGTGGTGGCAGACACTGTCACGGAGGGGAGACTTACAGGCTCGGTATTTGCTCGTTGCAGGCACCAGCTCATTCAGACCCATCCCTTTCAGGGGAAACCCAAGAGAAAAGAAACCAGATGGGAGCACGCACCGAGGCTCAGCACAGCCCTGGGCACCAGCCCTGCTGCCCACACAGGGTAATCGCCAGCCAGCCAGGACGGGCAATGCGCCTGCCCCCGGGGCTGCCGGACCCCTCCCATCTTTCCAAAACAGCGAGGGAGACTGCAGTATCTCCTTCCCTTGCAGAGGCTGTAGCAAGGCAAGATGCTAATTCTTGCCCACATCTTGAGCAGTTGGTGAGCCCTTGCATTTCCACTCTGGTCACCTATAATAATGTGTGAGAGGATGGTCTTGGCTGGGCAACTCTCGTGGATTCATCATGGAGTTAAACGGCTTTTCTTCTACTCTGTTGATGCCGGTCAATGAGGCTGTGACTCCTGAGGCCAGTCATACCTCATTAAGTAATGATTCAAGCTCTGTATGGACTGAGGGCGTGAAGTGTATAAGTCTGTGTCTAATCTGACGGTGATGCCGAAAGCCTTTGGTTCATGACACCAGAGATAAGAAGGGAAATATAACTGGGAACTTTTCTTCTTCTTAGGGAGAAGAAAACAGAGAGTTCTCAGTGCAGATCCAGTGGGCACAAAGTGCCTCCCCAGGGAAAGGTCTTTGGCTTCAGACATGAGTTCAGGTGCAAGAAATTACAGAAGAGGCTGAGACAAGTTGCCAGCCCTAAGCAGGGAAGGATATAATGACACTAAGTAATTTTCTCAAATGCTTTCTATTAATTACAATTAAAGCTAATACACTTTAACATATTGTCATCTCCCAGTAAAATATAATGCTGTGGAAACTATATCCTGCCATAGACTTAATACTCCACTGTCTTTTATCATTCCTCTCCTCAGTTCCTGTATATGCCTGCTCTTTGTCAGTTTTTCTTTTTCTTTTTTCTTCCTATCACTCATCTTCATTATCCTCCATTCAGTTTCTTACCCAAGGTACCAGCATGCAAAAAACTCTCCTGAGTTGCTACATGCAGGAGACCATTTTGGGTGATCTTTGTGAACTAGTTTTATGGTTGCCCAACCAAGAGACCAATATTGGTAGCATGAGAAGGAGTGCCAGACCAAATAATAAAACATTTTGCTGTTGCTTATGTTTGCATTACCAAGTTGTGTGTCTGAAATTCTGACTTTAAAGTACTTGCAGAGATTGCATTCTTCCTTGAGTGTAATGGTATCAGTATACAGCATGCTGTCAAATGAAAGTAATTTTTCTTATCTTACTTGTATAAACAAGAGCACAGCTCATTGCTCCCTTTCTCTCAGCTGTGTTTCAGGCAGAATCAAATTTTACTTTCAAACTCAGCTGCAAATCATTGGCCTTTGGCAGTATGGAGGATAAAATACAGCAAATACAGATAGTACAACTGGTATCTAAATCTGCATATCCAGCACCTGTAAAATAATCAAGCCATGACAGAAGAATTTGGGGATAAAGAAGGCAAGACTTTTAAAGATAGTATGCATCAAATTCCACAGGAGCTAATACCTTTAAAAATCTTGCCTTGAATTCCCTTCCCCCAAATACATTCTTTTTTTTTTTTTTTTTGGCTGTATTCATTATGACTTTATTTCGAATCCAGACATCTCTATTGTAACACACCCCTTTTTCATTCAACACACACTTTTATCTAAATAAGGGCTTCCCAGGATAATCCACCAAAAGAAAATAAGCACAAATCCTGATCAACTAGTCCTACTCTATAATGTGAGTTACAGAGTCAGTTACAAGAAGAAAAATGGGACACTTTTTGGAGGTGTGGGGCATGGAAGAAGCTGTCAATTCCACATCTTGGGATGAGCTGGATTGTCTTTAATGTGGTGAAATCCAAGCCACGCAGTGTTGTCAGGGCACTTGCTGTTTTTACAGCTGCCTGTTTTTTCACGGTCACTTTGTCCTCTATGATTCCTCACCATCAGGGAAAGGCATTATCATATGTGTATCTTTCTTTCATATAACAGCATGTTTGTTGTGATGGTTGGGGAGCAGGAGAAAGCAGATTCTTCAGGTGGATCTC